ACACATGACCTAATAGTAGTCATATCACATGACCTAATAATAATAATTATTATTATTATTATGACCTAATATATGTCAAATCACATGGCCAATCACATGTCAAATCATAGGACCTACCTGTCTGAGGTGAGATAACTGTTTTAAAATCATTTCTTGACGAAGTTCTGAATCTTTCAGTCTTTCTGGATTCAAAAGTGGGTCCTGCAAAGAAATACAACATGAATCGGTTATAGAAAAAGAATCCTTGAAGTTAGGACAGTGACAAATATGTCATGTACATTCATCCTTCAAAACCGAAATTGAATTGAGTTTTTTGATTACTTTCAATGGCAAGTAAAAACTATTGATACACATAATTTAGAATATAGACTGAATATAGACCTCAGTGGCAATAATCAACCACCGATGAACACACCCATGTGTCATCGTTAATAGAAGCTTTTGTTATTAGAAACTACAAAGAAAATACATATATCACTATTTATGTATGTTTTTTTCAAAGAGTTCAAATGGGTTTCCGATAAATGAATGATATATTGTTGTTATAATTGCGCAAAACCAGCTATGACTGTACGAGTAAATAGTGCCCTAAAAAGTAATCGTCACAGTTCACTAGTTTATAGGAGTTAATAATTACTAGGTTTACACAATATCATTCTATAGAAGTTAAACTTTTGTTCCTCCCACCAATTAACAGGAGATTATCTCCAATGCATTTATATGATTGGGACCAAACAAAATCTCTGACTCAGAATCAATATATTCGCAATATTTGAGAATCTGTTATGAATCCAGATGGCATCACCTTCAAGACAGGACCTATATTCCATGTCGCAGGAGACAAGTAAAAATGCAGCAAAAAATTTGTGCCAATTGCTCCAGACAAACAACACTTATTTTGATGATTGAGGGGGTGCAATTCCGTCATCTACAATTATCGCACATAAATTAAAAATGATATCCACTCCTGAGATGTGATGATTTGAATGGAACGAAATTTGAAGAAGGTGATAGAGGGCATTATTTCGGCCTGATGCGTTTACACAGTCAGAGCCATGTCAGGGGCCCAGTCCTATTAGAGCGCAACCCCAAGATTTATCAGAGCTGAACACAGGGAAGTTTACAATTGTGTAAATGAGACAAATGTCTGTTACTGGCAGTCTGAATAGATCAAAATGTGGCGGAGGGATAGTGTTAATATTTCAACAAAATATTAAATTAATATTTCAAAGAAAGAACATCAAAAACACACAAATAAATACATTTTATTTCTCATAATATGGATTTAACTTTTCATTCGCTTCCAATCCTTCAATGCTTTCAATCAAACTTCAGATGAAAGAAAACAATAGTATGCAAATAAGATGAAAAAACTGTGACCTAAATGTTAATAGCAAGAAAACCTGAACTTGTCGCTACAACCATGGCCAACAAATATTACGTGTAGAAAAACCATATTCAATACTCCTATCAATTAAACGGATTGCCGTAATTGTAGATTGGATTGTTTTTTGCTTTTTTTAATTTTCAATAATGCACAATATATCATTGTGAGAAATTGGGCAAAATCCAATTTTTGTTAAAACTATTCTTTTTGAGAGCAATGTAAGAATGTCAAATGGATAAAATATGAAATTGTGAATACAGTGCCAAAAAATGTATGTATTATTTGAATCACCGTACTGGTACATCACATCTTCCCACATAATACATGCATCCTGTGAAAATGCGATCACAGACACCAACTAATTTGCATTTCAAAACGATATAAATGCCAAACCAATTTCATTATAATCCCTTGATGATACTCATCAGTCATGTCTCTTTCTATTTCGTTGCAGCGACACCTTACGGAAATCTCAAAAGCGTGACATCACATGATTATTATCTCCTTATCAAGAATCAACTGTACATAAATGAAGCCTCAACTTGAAAATCCGAGCACACTTGGAAATGAATTATGTCTTTCTCAATGAAGGATTTATCCGTTGTCAGTTTAAATGTTGAGAAATGCATCAATAGCATCAGTCACAATTACAAAACAAGCAGCCTATTGGCTGACATAGCCCCACTGTTTTATATTCATAATGAATTAAGAATATCAAATTAATCAGTCAGTCCATTTTCATAATAAGAATAATCACTAAAATTCAAGTTATCTACAATAACTACTGAATGACAGTGATTCATATATAGAAAATATCAAAACAATTAGGCTGGTGGTTTCAGAAAGATGTCCATAATATTTTTTTTTTTACCGAAACAAAAATTCGAAAAATAAAGTTTTGGTTATAAAATATCAAGGCAATCATCTAGTTTTCAATAAGCAGTCAAAAATAGCCTTTTTTTTTTACCAAAAGTACACCTAAGGTATATATGTACCAACTATCAAACCAATCAGACTTGTACGTTTCAAGAAGAAGATGACGAGGACAACAACAAACCATTAGTATCACCCTCATTATAAACTGAATAAATGTATGCTCTCGAAACTTGAAATATGGTGCATTATGGTATACAGATTTTGAGGCAAATGGTAGGTGAAAATGATGTCAAAGAATCTAAGGTTCTCAATTTAAAAAAAAAATGAGTACTATCCAACTATCTTGAATTGAATCAAATGAATGTACATACATGGAACAGGATGTGTAATGTATTTGTGAAATTTGAACATGGTACAATTGCAATTGGCAAATCTGTCCTTATTTTTGGAATTCTTTTGAATGTTATTTTACAAGAACAAGGGTCATAAGTGCAAATATTGTATCTTAGCAAGTTTCAGCAAGAAAACAATTTTGGTGAAAAATATGTGTCAAAGTTTGCTCAATTTTTTATTTATACTACATAATGAATACTAGACTGTTATGTGTTACTCACACTGGTGAATACCCGACTCCATGACGATATACAATTAAAGAAATGCTAGGGTATGTATTAATACTTGCATAATAACATTTTATTTCTTTAGTATAGTACTGTCATATAGTAGTAGAATAAAGCATTAAACTCGTGGCCTCTTTTACAATATGAGATGAATAGCATAAAAGTCCTAAATAGTATATAGCAATATATCTCAGCAAACTTTTGGCTTGAAAAATATACCGGTACAAGCCATGAATTTGCTGGGACAATATAAAATGCTTGACAATTCATATCTGGTTCCCATACTACCTAAGTAATAAAGCTTGTCTTTATTTTTGTGCTTACATATTTAATTCTTTTTATTTATATCTTGAAAATTAAATATGACAGTTGTACTAAAATTGAGTTATTGCAACCATGAGAAATAAAGATTGCTTAGAAAGCACTCCTCAACGGATTTCAATAAAACTTGATGCATAGATGGTCTGAGATAATGCGCAGACCTGATCAGTCTTTGGTTGAAATTAGTGCATATTAATGACCTAACTTGCATATTAATTAGCCAATTTAGGCCCTTTCGCTTTTTCTCAAGAACTACTTAACAGACTTCAATGAAACTTGATACATAGATGGTCTGAAACAATGCCGCAACCTAAAGTTTTTGATTGAAATCCTTGTATATTAATCACCTAATTTGCATATTAACAATTTTTTCCACTAATATCTCAACCGCTCATCAGATTTCAATGAAACTTGGCACACATGTGCTCTGGTATAAGCCACAGATCTGATTACTTCCAAATTGAAATCCATGCATATTAATCACCTAATTTGCATATTAACAATTTTTTCCACCAATATCTCAACCACTCATCAGATTTCAATGAAACTTGGCACACATGTGCTCTGGTATAAGCCACAGATCTGATTACTTCCGGATTGAAATCCATGCATATTAATTACCTATGTGACCTCCATAATTTGCATAAGTGTAATATCTCAAGCACAGATATTAGGACATGCACTAGTGCTATAATAGAGGCCATATGACCATATATGGTCATGTGACCTTAATTAATATGTATAACTGATGTATGAAGCACTGCTGCAGATGACATGCAACCAGTGCTATAATAAGGGTTTTTGTCAAGAGATATGACTAGCAAACCACATGCCCATATATGGTCATGTAATATGCATAACTGTAATATCTCAGACAGAGGCAAGTCTGTGGCCAAAATAAGGCATACTTCAATGATTTTGCATGCAATAAATACAATTATTGCTTTACATTAAATAGAGATGTGCTTCTAATATAGAAAATACAGTATTCCTTATTTGTACTTCATGGCTTCAACACCGTCAGCACACGAGAGTTCTTTCTAAGCATCAATACCAGAAGAGACTTAATGACAACAAAATTTCACCAGAGTCATCGTGACTCTCTGCCTAATAAACCTAAGTTGAATTTTTAGTACAAGAAAGACATGCAAAGTTCTAGCTAAGTGGTTTACAGTTTTTAATAATGATATACTACTTATGCAAGCATTATGGTAATCATTCTGGACTGGCAATCACATGGTTGTGATTTTGAATCTTTGCAGTACAGTTGTGTGGTATCCTTGTGTTAAGTATTTAACTGGAACTACCGCACATGACTACCCAGTAGAAAAAGGTAACCTGATGTGGAATTTTCAGCAATCAACAAACTTCTAAGTGATTTGTGTTTCCATATTTCTATGCATTGGAATACTATTGATGTCGTTTTTTTTAGAAACTTTCAGTCATTTTTTTTATGAGATATAAAAATCACGCACCTTTTCTTGCTCTGTTCTTTTGTCTCGCTTCTTCGGGTATCTTTCCTCATGGTTGTCCTGAGAGTATCTTTGTCGGTGCTTTGGCTCATTGGGAGTTGGTGGTAAACTGTCAGGGATCAACTGATGCGCTTCACTTCGCATGAAAGGTGCAAAATCACCCGTCTTGACAGGGGGCGAGGCCGGATGATCTGGATTAGGCGGCGTACTTACATGAGATTGTTTGGTGTGTTGTCCAGTAGGGGAATAAGAACGATGTCGTGTACGCCGACCAGTTGGAGATTCGTATCTTATCGGTTTGGCAGGTGACCTATTTCCAGGTGAGTAAGATCGCATTCTGCTTTGCACAGCAGGAATTGGAGGGGACGGTGTTCTTTCTCGCATTAACCTGTGTCTTGTGTTCATTTCTTGCATTATCAACAATTGTTCTTGACGTTTGCGCAACCGTTCTTCTTTCTTGCGTCTATCAATCGTCAAATCTCTGTCAGACGCTTTTCTAGATTTTTTTCCAGGAGCTGTACTCCCCCACTGTGGCCTTTCAGATATTTTCATGTGTTTTTTTCTTTGTGGTATTTCTTCGTACACGGGTGATGGAGATCGGACTCTCCTCTCAAATTTATCTTTCACACGACTCCGACTTCTTTCCCTGTAATCTTCCTTCACAGTTCTATTGTCTTTCTGCTCTTTCTTTTGGTTATTCACTTTAAACTCTATCCCAGCACTGTCCTCTCGAACAAAGTTTGTAGGAAGATCAGGCATCTCTGAAAATAAATGAAAACAAGTTTTAATTTTACAAACTTTGACTTTTGGAAGTTTTAATAGTACTAGCATGTTATGTTCTAAACCTTTTGTTATATAACTTGACATGTGGGAAAATAATTTATAAGAAAAATGTTATAACTGATTTATCATACAGTATTCTACCAATTCAGTGTCCATGTCTATCCGATCAGCGTCCAATTACGTCTTTTGTGTAATTTCTATTTTTGGGGTTAAGTTTGACTTTGTGCCCAAACAGTTTGAAATGCCAAAAATTTGAAAAAATGCTTTGCATATACCGGTAATCGAAATCATTTGACAATATAGATACCGTATTTGCTCTATTAGTAACGAACTCGCTTACATAAAAGACATGTATGTTGTGGAAATCAATGACAAAACAAAATGTCTTATTTTACCAAAGACACGTAATCTGGCACATGATGAACAAACATTGTCTTTGTGATAATTGTTTGAAGATGTGGTTGACTAAGCACTGACTCCCTAAAAATGAGAATTTTGTTGAGGTCACTGAACGCTAAAGTCAGTCGAATATGGTATAATAACCTACTTATTATTAGTAAAATATTGGCCAGGATGTTTATTTGGAAAAGAACCGGATCACCAAATTTTTTAAATAACTTTCATCGTAAACACAGGAAAGCATGAAAAACTAGCATAGAGGGAGCTATTCAAGATGGTGAAATTCAGGAATAGGACAATGACATTCAAGGTTTATCATCGTAATTAAAAAGTTAAAAATACACAGAGGCCACCCACAAATGCTATATTTTGTTCATTTAACATTTTTACCACCTTCTTTTCATCACGAATTCACAAAATAGTCCTGTTTATAGTCTGTACTTTCCTTAATAGCCAATTTTTTTGAGTAAAAACTGAAAATTGACTTAAATTTTGTCTGTTGGCTCCAAAATTAGGGTTCATTTCCAGAAATATTGAAGAATATAAGAAAAAAGTACTGTAAAATGTTGGCGAGGAAGTCTTGGACTGATTTGACAGCTATGTCAATTTTCTCAATGTTGTCAGTATCAATCCGGTTGATTCAACTTCAATGTCATGGATGTGTTGAAATCAAGCCATAAATAGAATCTATGACGACATTTAATGGCATACATGTTTCAAAGAATTATCACTCGCTAACACAACTGTCCAGGCAGCGTATGTGCATCCTGTATCAACAGGAAGTTCACAATCATTAATTTTTGTACACACATTCTGATAATATCAGATAAACATTTAATTATGAAGAGTATTTTACTAACCTGTTTGGATGCCTTGTTCTCTGACCGGAGATTTTAACGCACTGTCTTCCTGCATTGTTGACACAGCGAAAGACGGATCCACCAGAACTCCAGCTCTACTTATATTAGACGTGAACCCTTTCTCTGGAGAAAATCTGCCTCTTGGGCTTGCTTCAGGTGGTTTGGCTGAAGAAAACCAAAGAAACCAGCTATAGTTGTTAGTGTACACATAGAATATAACTACAAAGAAATAAACATATTTTATATCACATACAAGCTCAACATGCAACTACATACAGCTCTATTTACAACTGAACAAACAGTTTGACATGCAACTCAACATGCAGCTCAACATACAACTGAACAAACAGTTTGACATGCAACTCAACATGCAGCTCAACATACAGCTGAACAAACAGTTTGACATGCAACTCAACATGCAGCTCTACTTACAACTGAACAAACAGTTTGACATGCAACTCAACCTGCAGCTCAACATACAACTGAACAAACAGTTTGACATGCAACTCAACATGCAGCTCTACTTACAACTGAACAAACAGTTTGACATGCAACTCAACATGCAGCTCAACATACAACTGAACAAACAGTTTGACATGCAACTCAACATGCAGCTCAACATACAACTGAACAAACAGTTTGACATGCAACTCAACATGCAGCTCAACATACAACTGAACAAACAGTTCGGTATGAAACTCAACATGCAGCTCAACATACAACTGAACAAACAGTTTGACATGCAACTCAACATCCAGCTCAACATACAACTGAACAAACAGTTCGGCATGAAACTCAACATGCAGCTCAACATACAACTGAACAAACAGTTTGGCATGCAACTCAAAATCCAGCTCAACATACAACTGAACGAAGAGTTCAGCATGCAGCTCAACATACAACTGAACAAACAGTTTGACATGCAACTCAACATGCAGCTCAACATACAACTGAACAAACAGTTCAGCATGAAACTCAACATGCAGCTCAACATACAACTGAACAAACAGTTCGACATGCAACTCAACATGCAGCTCAACATACAACTGAACAAACAGTTTGACATGCAACTCAACATGCAGCTCAACATACAACTGAACAAGTCATTGAAAATGACACAGTCCGCGTTAATTTTTTAAAGTTCTCTTTGTGCTCGTCATATTAAAGCGGAAGAGTTGTCGCGAGCGTGTCATTGAAACTTGAGTTCCAAGTGACGTATACAACAGATTGTTTATTTACATCAAAATATGTGTTCCGTGTAGTAGTAATATGGCCAAAAATAAAAACAGCCGTTATTCGGCCATCTTTGAAACAAATTGTCATGGACATGCATCCTAACTTTATTTATTTATTAACACACAACATCCCCCGGAGGGGATGAAAAGGGTTACAAATCAAATATTAGTAAAAGAAAAAAAAAATCACTACAAAAAAAGTAAGGGAACAAAAAAGCATGTATAACATACAACTGAACAAACAGTTTGGCATACAACTGAACAAACAGTTTGGCATGCAACTCAACATCCAGCTCAACATACAACTGAACAAACAGTTCGACATGCAACCCAACATGCAGTTGTACATACATAGCACAACATACAATTCTAAATACAGATTCAGATCAACAGTCAAAAATATGAATTACAGATCAGAAAACCCAGTAATCTACTCACTGCTGTCAATCTAGGATAATTTTCTAATATTGTAAAATACTTTATTTCAGCTGGAATTAATTTTCGCCGAAAAGACTTTTTGGGATGTTTTGTATGGAATTAATTTTCACTGATTTTTGAATATGA